GTTTATTTATTTATTTACGTAATCTCTCCACCCAACGTGGGGCTCGAACTCATGACCTCGAGATCAAGAGGCACTCTCCTGAGGCACTGAGCCAGCCAGGTGACCTCCCATCTTAACCAGTTTGTTTGTTTTTTTTTTTAAGTTTATTTATTTGAGAGAGAAAGCACTAGTTGGGGAGAAGTAGAGTGGGGAGGGGGAGAGAGAGAGAGAGAGAGAGGCGGGGGAGGGGGGGCGAGGCCAGAGAGAGGATCAGTATGGGGCAGGAGGCTCCATACTGTCAGCACAGAGCCTGACGTGGGGCTTGAACCAATGAACTATAAGATCATGACCTGAGCTAAAGTCAGACACTTAACTGATTGAGCCACGCAGGCGCCCCTTAACGATTTTTGAAGTGCATATTAAGTGCATTCACCCTGCTGTGCGATTCTCACCGTGCGTCTCCAGACCTCCTCATTGCCCCCTCCCTCCAGGCCGCAGCAACCACAGTCTACTTTCCGTCTCTGTGAGTTCACTCCTCCAGGAACCTATATAAGAAGAATTCTACAGCATCTGTCTTTCTGTGCCTGGCGTGATTCACTCAGCACAGGGTCTTCAAGGTTCACCCATGCTGTAGTGGGTGTCAGAATTTCCTTGCTTTTTAAGGCTGAAGAACATTCCATTGTGTGGATAAGACACACATATTATTTACCCACTCATCGGCCTCCACTTGGGGTGCTCCCACCCTCTGCCCTACAAAGCGCAGGCTTTGTCATCACAACTACCAAAAGGGCAGCTCTGCAAAGACAGGACATCACTGAAAGGAGCACAGGGCGATCTGGTGTTGAAAGTCTGAACCTCCTCAAGATGGCAGTCGGCCTGGTGTCCAAAGGCTGCCGCGGGGCCTCTGTTTCCCTCAAGAGTAAACACACCCCGTGGTTCCCTGAGTTTGCTGGGTACCCCAGTGCCCTTGGCACGCTACTTGGGAACCATGCTCTATGATGGGAAAGCCACTGTTATGTGCATTTTCAGTTGAGTGGAACTCACTCCTTACGTAACTAACGTAAACACTACCATTAAGTTTATATTTCTCACAAGGCTCCCATTAGATACTTCTCCAGTCTCCAAGTCAGGTATGTGTCTGTGCGGCAATGCTTAGATAACGTATTTTCTGTATAAAGTTCCACTGGATTCCTGAGAGATAGGATAGTCACTCTCAAGGCCCAGAAAACATATTTTCTCAGCCACTCTATAAACAGTACTTGACCACAAAGTAATGGTACCCCACTGTCACAGTTTTACGTCAACTTTAGTGGATGACAAGGTACCCAGATATTTGATCAAATATCATTATGGGTGTTCCTATGAGTGTTTCTGGATGAGATTTACATTTAAATCAGCAGACTGAGCAAAACAGATTGTTCTTCCTAATGCGGATAGATCTCACCCAATCACCTTAAGGTCTGACAAGAATAAAAGACTGACCTTCCACCAAGCAAGAGAAAATTCTTCCCTGAATGACTGCCTTCCTGTTGGGACACTGGCATTTTTTCCTGCCTTTGGACTCAAACTGAAACATTGGTTCTTCGTGGGTCTCACACCTGGTGGCCTTCAGAAAGGGAGTACACCGTTGTCTCTCCTAATTCAAAGCCATCCTGGGTCTTCAGCTTGCTGACTCTTCTTCCATTTCTTGAAGATGGTCAGTCTCCACAGTCTATTCAGATGCAGGTACAGGTACAGATACAGGTACAGGCACAGATATATTTCCTATAGGATCCATTTCGCTAGAGAACTCCCTAACTAATACACCCACAGAGTCACAGGCTCTTGGTACCTATCTCTCTGGGTCATGGCAATGTCAATAACACATAAAAAAGCAATGACAAATCCCAAGAGAGATGTCAACCTCAAGTTTATCACATCATTCCACCACATCATCCCCAAGGTTAAAACCCTTCGGCAATTCACAGTGTGGTCAGGATAGACCCGCACTCCTCAGCACATCATTCATAACCTTTATGCGGCCTCTGCTGATTCCTCTCCCAGTCTCGTCTCTTAACAGTCTGTACAGCCCCAGGGTGGAATCAGGCAGAAGCTAATGAAACGCACCATGATCTCTCCTTCCAGGTTTTGAGGGTGCTCATCTCTCTATCCAGATTGGGTTCCCAGACAGCCTCCCTCACACACGTACGTACACACGTGCCCAGATGCACACATGCAACACACGCACACACACACAACATACAATTTGCAAGACTGCAAGGCTAGTTACTTATCCGCCTAGATATCCTACCCTCCTCCCAGATCCACTCATCAAGCACGGGCTGGGAACCCTCCAAATGTGGCCCTGCTGCCCTCAGTGTACCGCTATCAGAGCCCTGACTATGCTTTAACTGCCCATTCATTTGTCCGAATTCTCCTAACTCCCTGAGGACCAGGACTATGTTTTCTTGGCTACTGTAACCCTAAAGCAGTGGCTCACCTACAATATATACTCAATAATTCTCTGTTGAGTAAATGACTGGATGGAGATTAAACAGTCCCGGATCAGGGCGCCCAGGTGGCTCAGTCGGTTGAGCACCCGACTTTGGCTCAGGTCATGATCTCACGCTTTGTGGGTTTGAGTCCCACGTCGGGCTGTGTGCTGACAGCTCAGAGCCTGGAGCCTGTTTCAGAATCTATATCTCCCTCTCTCTCTGACACTCCCCTGTTCATGCGGTCTCTCTCTCTCTCAGAAATAAATAAAACATTAAAAAATAATAAATAAAATAAAGTAAAGTAAAGTAAAATAAACAGTCCCGGAGCACCTATCCTCAGCCAGTTACTGGCTTAGCTTTGGAACTGCCAACCGGTATCTGAAACGGACACAGTCAGCCACCATTCAGAGTGCTACCCAAGCTCCCCAAGGCCAGAAAGGATGGTAATACTGCTGGCCTCGACCCCTGGTCCGTGCTCAGGCCCACCCCATCCGTGCACATCCAGAGCAGGCACCACAAGCTCAGAAGCTGCACAAGGAGCCAGGACGCTGGAAAGAGGGCGCTAGGCGGGCAGCACTAGTGCTGACATTTTACCTGAGCTCCAGGATGTATGACCCCTGAGAGCTCACTTTCGCTGAATTCCCTGAAACATTTCTCTTAAACCAGGAGTACAATCATAACCACTTCTGGTCACCGTCCAAGTAATATCCCCAAACTCCTTCCCAGGTGGCAATGCTGAAGTCACTTACACTTTCTAGACCTAAGTTCCTGTATCAGTCAATTAACAGCTGCATACGACTCAGGGCCGTCGTGAGCAATATAACTGAGATCACATGTCGGAAGTCCTCAATACAGTGCCTGACCTGTGCTAAGTTATGACATAATAAATAGAAGTTATTAACACTATCAGCATTATCATTGCCAGCCAGGATTTCAACACAAGTAGATCTGACAGCAAGCTATGGTATACTAGAGAAGCATGAGTTGAAAGACTTCACTGGGTCTCCGCCCCGTGAAAACCCAAGTACATGAGCTTGACATCGAGGCACATAGCTTGTCATGCCATGAACACAGCAACCTGACAATGGTGCGGTTTGGAGGCCCCGGGACAAGTGTTTCTTAAACTCATACTAAACATCAATAGGTCTAAGAAACAAAACAACCTGAAACCAAACCTAAACCTAAGCCAATAAACAAATAAACAAACAAATAAATAAATAAATAAGAAAAAAGCTACACATATGTTTCAGGTTTTTCCTTAATCGACCCATTTATACCATGGAGAGGAATACAGAGACACTAAAACAACTTTTTGGTTATTTGCCACATACAAATAATTATTCACCCTAACTGGGTGAGCTGAGTTAAGTGGGTGCATGGCTACTTGGGCCGCCAGTGATTCTATTTGATAGTGTAAACACTTAATATTAACAGTGAAAAACAAATGCTAAAAATACCTAAAGGAACATATAATTGTACTGTTTTACATAACAAAGCTGAGATACACCATCTTTCTTTTTTCTAGCCCAAATACACATCTCATTTGCAATATAACTCATTAAGTCAACATCGGTTTCTAAAGAGTGTGTGTCATTCCAATAATCTGCTAGTCTCCAACAATGATTTTGTGACTTAAAATACATATTATCCAAATACCACTGAATTAAAAGCACATTCTCTCCACATTTCAAATTAACCCAGTTTTCCAGTTCTCCACCAGCCCCGAAGCACAGCCTTCACTCTCCTGTCTAGCTTTCTTCCCTTCTGTCACTAGCTTTCGTACAAAACTTACGGGTTCTGCTCTAGGAATAATTTTTTACCGTTTCTATGTACTAATTCTTCACTTTATTGGCTACTAACATTTCTCCTCTTTTATCTTTTTCTTCCCAAACCTTTCTTCTGGCACCCAACTAGCACAACAACCGTTCCAGCCGCCCCCATCCTCCACGGCCTGCGGAATCCAGCCCCTTTGTGTTTCCAGGGGTGGGATCTCGCTAAACTCACTCTTGCCCTTCCACCACCCACCCACCCTCATCCCTGTTTCTTTCTTTCTTTCTTTTTTTTTTTAGTGTTTCTTTATTTTTGAGAGACAGAGAGACAGACCACAGGCAGGGGATGAGTAGAGAGAGATGGAGACACAGAATCTGAAGTAGGCTCCAGGCTCTGAACTGTCAGCACAGAGCGTGGTGCGGGGCTCGAACTCCTGAACCACGAGATAATGACCTGAGCTGAAGTCAGATACTCAACCGACTGAGCCACTCAGGCGCCACCCCGCCCCCCCCCCCAGTCCCTGTTTCTGATCTCTCTGTCTCACCTTCTACTCCGCTTCACAGTCCCACAGTCTTCACGTTTGCCACTGTGGCCTCCTCACCCTCACGCGCACATACACACCCACCCCCCGACCACGTAAGCTACATACTACTGAGACCATCGGCTCTGACCCTGATGTTCAATCATGTATTTTTCCATAAGATTTGCTGGCAGGAGGAACAAGGGGGAGGAAAAAATAGTTTCCACTTGTAAAAGATCCCAGAAAGACAATCCTACCTTTCCCAGGATTTGGAGGAAAGGGACTTCCAAACTCCTGCTGCTTTGGCTTTAAAGTGTGTGGCCCTGACATGCCTCCAGCCTGGGTGACCTGGAATCGTGGCTTCCCGTTGGTGAGCACTTGTCTCCGGGGGCTCAAGGCGGGCAGATGGAGGGGGCTCTCGGTGACGCTGCCCTGCGGAGCCAGCCCTCCTCCCGACGCCATCTTGAGACGGACGCTGTTAGTAAGGCTTCCGATAGCAGAGCTCAACATGTTGCCACAGGCCAAGGGGCCAGGAGTCCCAGAGTGGGCTCGGATGGGAGGGATGTACTGGCCACTGACCATCCCAGGCCCCTGTGGGCTTCCTGATGTCCGGTGGAGACTCATGCTGCATGACCTTCCATTCATTCTGAAAAAACCCCGCGGCCAGGATGGTCAAATATCCAGTGGCACTACTGAGTCCTTTCAGGCAAAGTCCAGTAAGTTATCCATGGTGCGGGTTATTAGCCTGTTTAAAAGAATAAATGCAGGCAGTTTTAAAGGCAAAAATGAAAGTCAGTCACTGTGAGTTTTCAACCTGTGTAGCATTCTATCAGGAAGAAAAGCAGCACTCTTCGCAAAAAGCCTTTTATGTAAGGCAAGGTCATCATACACATGGTTCCCTGGCAGGCACTCTCCCGTACCGCACTCGCAGCAGACACGGGTTATGGATCACTGCGTTGTTTTGTTTGCCACTGAGCCCTTCTCAATACAGTGCTCTTGGCAATGACAACCAATCAACTGGTGCCAGCCTGCAAAGTGAAACTTCTTTTGCTCCCTAGAGGGTCTGTCTGTCCATCCTAGTTCACTTTTGCCCGGGTGAGTCTTGGGAAACTCAAAGCATCACCTTCACGGGCCGTGAGACCAACGCTTCGACATTTCCAGGAAACAAAAGATATGGCCTCTGAATAAGATCGTGAGGATATTAAGCCACCTCTGACACTTACTGTAAGAGCAAATTTTTCACAGTCCCTAGGTTTACAAAAGATAAACATAAGGGCCTGGGATTCTCACAAAGACATCATATGCCCATATTTCCAAATACAGCCGCACCAGGGTCTTGGTTCCGTGATTCTGAGTTACAGGAATGGAAAAAGAATCAACAACACAATACTCTCACCTTCCATTAAGATCCTAGGAAAGGAAGAAGTCTGTGCAAAACACTTTGTGGAAAGCCTAACCAAAGAAGAGCCCTTCTAACAGTAAATACCTCCACCAGACTCCACACACAGGAAATCAACCGCAGTTCCACAAAGCTTCCGTCCGCCATTCCACCACCCCTTCCCTCAAGCAGCAGAGAGAGAACAGAGTACTGATAAGACGGCAGGACGTCATTACCCGTCTGTGTGTCATGATGTCAGTACGCTCTGCTTACAAATCTTTAGGAAAGGCCATTCCTTACCTTGATCTGCAACAGCTCCCTGAAACGTACACAGAGTCAATGAGATGCTTAAGTGTCACTAGTCCAAATGAAGGACAGACACAGTCACGATCTGTATGCTTCTCCACAGATAGGATAGTCATGAAAAGAAGCCAAACCTGGGCAAATGCAGGAAACAGGACTGAGTGCAAAGCCACAGTGGTCAGACAGTCTCAACTGGATGATTCCTGCTTTTTCTGTACAATCCACTCAGTGTCTTGGACAAATATTTCCAACCAATTCCTAAATGAATGGCTCCATCAGTCACCAAGGACAGAACATCACAGAGAGAAAACTCTCTGTGAAAGAGTTTTCTTTTATCCTTACAGACAATCAAAAAGTATTTGATTTTCAAGTCAATCACTCACTGTGCCCTCAGCATTATGCATTCCCATATGTTGAGAAACTTCCAAAATTATTAACAGTACAACATTTGGAATGTTTTCCTCATCTTTACCAATTCTCTACTTTATTAAAAATTCTAGGGGCACCAGGGTGGCTTAATCAGTTAAGCGTCTGACTTCAGCTCAGGTCATGATCTCACGGTTCATGAGTTTAAGCCTTGGATCAGGCTCTCTGCTGTCACCACAGAGACCACTTCCAATCCTCTGTCCCCTCTCTCTGCCCCTCACAAACGTACACTTTCTCTGTCTCAAAAAATAAGCATTTAAAAAAAAAAGAATTCTGTTAGTCTAAGGCACCTGGGTGGCTCAGTCATTAAGTGTCCAACTCTTTATTTCGGCTCACGTCATGATCTCATAGTTCAAGAGATCAAGTCCCGCATCAGGCTCTGCTGACAGTGTTGAGCCTGCTTGGGATTCTCTCTCCTCCTCTCTCTCTCTGCCCCTACATCCCTCCCTCATTCTCTTTCTCTCTCTCTCAAAAATTAAAAAAAAAAAAAAAAAAAAAAAATAAAAAAAAAAGGAAAACTATCAGTCTGTATTACTGACACACAAGCCATCCAGTTGAATATAAACATTTATCATCTTGAAACTGCCCCTCCCTCCACTACAATCCCCAAGAATGGACAGGTAAATGCAGCCTACCCAAACCTTATTTAAGTTGTTTTATGGAAGAATCAGAAATGANTCCTCCTCTCTCTCTCTGCCCCTACATCCCTCCCTCATTCTCTTTCTCTCTCTCAAAAAAAAAAAAAAAAAAAAAAAAAAAAAAACATTAAAAAAGAAGGAATTCTATCAGTCTGTATTTCATACCACCAAGCCATCCAGTCCTGAGAAATACTCTCATATTTAGCTACTGCCCCTCCCTCCACTACAATCCCCAAGAATGGACAGGTAAATGCAGCCTACCCAAACCTTATTTAAGTTGTTTTATGGAAGAATCAGAAATGAACCCTGGTATCAAACTGGTTGTAAGATGTTGGTTTTTCACGTTGGAAAAATTCTAATGCCTTTTCTGCTGTGTCCATTTAAAAAGAACTATAGTGTATCATCGGCTGCTCTGTTCATTCGTGGGTTGATGGTGAGCAAGAGTCATTTAATGTCTCTGTGCTTTGCCAGAGGATACTGGCCACGTATTCTCCACTCATTCATAAAACGGTGTTTTCTGAGTACTCTGAACCTTGCAGAAGAGAACCCTTATTCAGTACCAACATAGATAAGTAAATAAATATATATATATATATATACACTCCAATAAATATATATACATATTTATATATAATCATATATATAACGTATATATATGTGTGTGTGTGTGCGCGCGCACGTGTGTGTGTGTGTGTGTGTATACATAGTATTGGTAATTTGTTGAAAATAAAGAGTCATCCAAAATGACTGGCAGGATGAGTCACTATGAGTCCATGTGACAGCGTCTGCCGATTTGCAGACTATGCCCATTTCCAGGTTTTTAAAAATAAAGGAGTCATTTCTCTGGCAGCAAGATCATATGCAAGCAGGAATTCTCATCAAATATCTGGATAAAAACGCACAAGTAGGTACTTAGCATTGGGTCAGATCATTAAAAAGGTGAGGGTGCAAGAAAAATAAAGCGCTGAGAATTAAGTACCAGACACTCAGATTTGCCTGTCAAACTGGACTTTTATTTTATTTATAAACTGTGCTCCTGTTTTAAATCGCTTTAAGTTGAAAGTAACAATAATAACGAAAATGCACTTAAATTTTATTAATAAAAAAGCAACAGCCAGAGAGTACAGCGGTTGATACCGTAAAGAAACACCAGTGGGGCAGTGGCATAGGAGCCGAGAAAAACAGCCTCAAGTCAAAAATAAACTGAATGTGAAAATATGCTTAATAATCCAGTGTTTTACTGTTGGATAATTATGCCAACAGATTTTTCAAGCATTAGAGACCAGAATTTAAAAATCAATTTTTTCTACTGATATCATAAAACATTATATACTTTTTAGCTAGGCCATATGATCATTTATAATCCTAGGTCAACTTGGTAACAAAAAAGGAATAAACTGCTAACTTTTAAGAAAGACACTTCCTCATTGAGTCAGAGAGGGAAAAAAACCACTCAACTAGAAGGCAGGACACCAGAGTTCTACCTCTGGCACATCATTTATAACTTCTTTGGACTCAGAGCTTTCATCCACAAAATAAGGAAGTTGGTGATAATCACTAAGGTCTCTTGAAATTCTGATCTTCTAGATAATTAAGGTAAGGAAGATGATCAAAAATACCCAATTATGGGGCGCGTGGGTGGCTCAGTCAGTTAAGCATCCAACTTCAGCTCAGGTCACGATCTTGGGATCATGAGTTAGAGCCCGCATCTGGCTCTCTGCTGTCAGCACAGAGCCTGCTTCAGATCTTCTGTCCCACCCCCTCCCATCTCTGCCCCTGCCCTGCTTGTGCTCTCTGTCTCTCTCAAAATAAATAAACTTTAAAAGAAAATACCCACTTACTATGATCAAGGATAAATATGTAGATTTTATACCTATGGCACTTAAATCGAGGGGACAGGGTAAACAATGAAGCAAAAATAGTAGTATTCATCCACTCCATCAAAGCAAGAGCTAGGAGGAGGTTCCCACGTCAGCAGTGTGCTGAAAGACAACACTTAAAAGACAATCCTGAAAGTACAGTATCAGGATTAAATTTGCCCATGCTTTGCCAAAAAGTGAAATCATAACTAATCAGTATCAAAATCCAAGTGGTAGGATTCCATTGGCAGACAGCCTTCTATTTAAAACACATACTCAAGTTCCCCAGAATTACTTTTTCCTTCATCCTTCAGTCAGTACCCTTCTCCCCTCCCCAAGCTATCAACAGGAAAAAAAAAAAAAGAAGAAGAAAAAGAAAAAGCAAGGAACGTCTGAAAGTACAAATTTAGGGTACTCTGAATCTGACATAGTAATACACTTGGAGTTTTAATTCTCTATCGGTTCAAACAATAAAAATGTTCATTCTGTCAAATGAGTCAAGGTGAGTTCATAAATCCTTCCCTTTGACCACTTTCAAACTCCTGAAACATACTCCTTCGAGTCAGGTCAAAAAGGAAGTTACTTAATTCCTAAGGAAACTTAGGCACAAAACCATTTAGTGATTTCACTAGTTTTCTGGAAAAGCTATGACTGATCAAAATACAAAATCATGACTCTACCTTCTACTCAAGGCTCTAGGCACTGTGGCTCACAGACTAAAAGATTCAACAAATGAAAAGCAACATTAGCTCATCCATTCAAGAACATTCCAAAAACAAGAGTTCCATAATGCCTATTTACAGCCAAGGGCTCTTTCTTAGTAAATATCATTAATAAACTCATCTAGAGTCATAATTCATCTGATGAGCCAGTTAATTATTAATTTTCATACATCATTTCATTTCCTTAGGCTACATTTAGCCTTTGTTACATTTTCCATTCCTTATGCCACACGCGTTACTCTTGCCCCGCACAGAAAACCTGATAATGAGACACAAAATACTGTAAGCAAACAAACTACTCCTGAGTTGGCTTCTTTATATACATCCAAGCCATCTGAAATAGGGGTTTTATTGATTCTATTTATTCTTTTCCCTTCAGGTTAACGATTGTATAATTTCATTAACTGCTTTTTCAACAT